CTGTAGTAGGATTGAGGAAGGATGCTGGATAATCTCAGCAAGTCTGCAATAGGATAAGGACAGTGCTGATTCTGGTGCTTTCAACTTGACAGAAATTCAGGTGACCTTGGCCTCTGGTTGTGAGGTTAGGGCCTGAGTTATTCAGCTGACCACACTCTGGGAGTCTTGCCCACCTAACCTCAACTCCGTGATCCTAGACATCTCCCACAGTTGTTCATCACCCCATCACTGGAAGCCCTGAGATAAAGCCAATATTTGGCTGCTTTGAGTCCCGAGTTCATTTGGCCCCTCCCTAAAATGGCATCTGACTAACCTCCCTCTCCAGGGCATTCAGAAGTCACTTGGACTGGAGTCACCAGCTGTTGTGGTTCATAAGCATTCCACTGGTGGGTTTCTCCCTGCAGGTTTCTGGAGTCACCAGCCCTCGCTGTGTCCCTGTAGATTTGACCCTCCTCCCTCATGCTTTGAGCCAGGAGCTGGGGAAAAGTGCAGTTTGCCACCTCCTTTTTCTGCATGGTGGTCAGTCTCTTCCCTTCTGTGTGAGCTCCAATTTTCCCTTCAGATCCTTCCTGGGTCCCTGGGATCCACCTCCCTCTTCTTCTCCAAATTGTTATTTTTCAGTGTCTGAATTCTGAATCTCAGGTTGATTTGTTGTTGTTTACTGCTCCACCATCTTCCACTGCACACAATTCTTAATACATGTACCAAAAATTGAAAAGCCATGTATTGTGTTTCTTTGTAAATATTCAACTGACTTTCCAGCTTCAAATTTGGAGGCAAAGTTTTCTTAAGAGAATATCTAGTACCAATATCGTTATCTTTTTAACTTTTATATTAGTACATTTGCAGTACATAATGATTACATTCCTCATAAGGAGTTAATATGTGCCCATAACATTTCAATTATTTTTTCAAGTACCAATATCTTGAAATGCTGATAAACTGTTAAGTCCCAGCAATTCACAATTTATTATGTATGTTCCATATTCAAATTTTTTATTTTTCACAGCATATTAATAAAATTATTAGGAAAACTGGGCTACACGGTCCAAAGATGAATTCTGTCAGAAAAATGATCAAGGAACCATTTTCTTTAGGAAACAGTTCTACTAAAAGCAATATGGTAACAGAAGTAATATAAAACATTCAAGACATTTAAATGCATGGCTGTGACTACACTGCCACTTAGTATGTTTTATATTATAGGACATAAGGTTAATCCCCCACCTATAGAATGTTAAGCTGACACCTAAGGTTATAGCTTCCCACAATTCAGTATCCCACTATTTTCTGGTTGTACCAAACAATAAACAACAAGTGAATGATTTCACTTCTCAAAAATCACCCACACTTTTTAAAAAAAGGGGATAAAGTAGAATTCCTTTCTTTTTAAAAATGTTTCTGTTCAGATGTTATGTGCATGTACCAACTTCCCACAATAAAAAATTCATTTATTATTTTTAAAAAGTTTCTAGAGCTACTAAAAATTACATTAATAAAATAGTTGATAAAAATATCCCTCTGGATTGTAAAGGAAGACGGGGACCACCGATAAGCCATGGTGTGTGATTAATCGGAATTGGCTTCTTTCTCTCCTGCTTCATCCGAGGCTAGAGTCCCCTAGTTTTTCGATTCTCTGTTTTCTGCAGGTAAGCCTAGCCACTTGGGTTTGTTTTCCTTCTGTGTGTCCCCCACCCCCACCCCACACTGGGGAGCCCAGGGCCCAGGGCCTTGGCATCGAGCTACACTCCCAGCCCTTTTTATTTTATTTTTAATCTTGAGACAGGGTCTCACTAAACTGCTCAGTTTCCCAGGCTAAACTTGAACTTGCAACCTTCCTGACTCAGCCACCCAGAGTGTTGGAACTACAAGTGTGTGTCTCCATGACTGACTACCCTTTCCCTTTTTTCTGCATTCTTTTCTCCCAAGATTTTTCCTCCTCCCTCCAGGTCCTCCCAAGATTTAATCCTTTCCAGCTGCTTTTTTGGATTGTCTAACCCATAGCCTTGCCATTGACTCACGAGCCTTGCTGACCTTCTTCCTGGGCTTCTGGTGCAAGGGGTTTGTACAAGTGCTGGACTCTTCAATTTGTTTTACTCTTTCTCTTCTATCCAATCTCTTATTTCTTTGCAAACATCCTTTAATTTTATAAAAGCACCATATGTAATAATAAATGCTTATTTTTTAAAAAGTTAAATCTTATTCTTTATTTGCTTTCTGCTCCCTACCAACCTAATGCTCATTCCTAGTAGGTAAGTCAACATTATATTTTAACTTCATTTCTCTCTATGCCTGTATAGCCATATACAGAGGTATACATAGATTATTTAGCATATTATCTTTTTAAGTAAAATTGGAATACGTTATATACACTCTTCTGCAACTTTCATTTCTTTCACTCAAAACTACATCATGGAAACCTTTCTGACTCATTCTTCTAGACGATACTGCATTATAATTCACAGTGTATATAACCTAATGCAATTACCCGTAAGCACTCACAACTGCTTATTTTTTTCTCCACAATGAACAATGCTGCAATACACATTCATATACATAGGTTGTGTTTTTTAAAACTTTTGAAAATGTTTTAAAATTTTTTGGCAGCAGGGAGTGGACCTAGCAATTGAACCTAAGACTTTATGCATGTTGGGCAAGAACTACTACTGAGTTGTATCTCCAGGCCCCATTTAAAAATCTTTACTGACTTTAATATTTGTACAAAACATAAAACACATTACAGAGGGATAAAACTCATATAGTTATACAGCTTAATTTTACAAAGTAGTTGTCTTGGCAACCAGCTCCCAGATCAAAAATAAAAAGTTACCATTATACCTGGTTCTTCTGTGCCGCCTTCTAGTAGGTCTCCCCTAATGTGGGCATTAAGTGGACTTCTAAGATTATAACTTATGTTAACTTTTACCTATTTTTGAACTTCATTTATATTGGAGTTTTTGTTTTTTAAAAACTTTTATTAGTACATGTTTATAGTACATTTACATTGTGGGGAGTTGGTACATGCACGTAACACATCAGTTCTTTTTTTCATCCCCTTTTCCTCCCTTGCCTCCTTTCCATCTCAGTTCCCTTCCCATTTGCAAAAGATCTATATCCCTACTTCTTCCTATTATCTTATTTTGTGTTTTGTTTACAATTGGAATTTTCATTTAATGAATGTTGTCATATTGCTTTCCTAAGAACTTGTAACACTTATTTTCACCATTTAAGTGTATGTGTAAGAGTATTTTCTGCAGCTCGGAGAGTAATATGTCAATGCTCTTTTTTTGTTCTTGTTGGTTTCCTTGTTAAAATATCTTATTAAATAAAACATCTAAACAAGTAATACTACAAATGTGTACAGTGAGCAAACTGAGACTCAAGAACTTAACCTACAACGAACTTTAGAGCAAGACAGTGTTCCAACATTCTCATGCTTTAAATTTAAAAAAACAACACAAGATTCACCAAGTTAAAGGCAAAATGATCTTCCCAGAGTTTTGTCTTGAAGAAGATTGCATTAAACTGTCCCCAAATGTTCATTTGCTTAGGTACATGTGACTGAGGAAAACAATAGGTTTTTGCCAAGAGTAACTATAGTTCAAAACAAAACGCCTTCATAACTTGCAGTATTTTAAGACATGACACAAAACATTTTTGTACCAGATAAATATGGCCTTTTAAAGAAGTTCTTTACTCAAGAAAAATGAAAACAAACCACAACACCAATACACTTGAAAGCAAACCCAAATGAGAATTTAATAGGTCTTTCTGTCACTTAGTTTATACCCTGGTTTTCTGGGGTAGTGAAACCAAGCAGGGGACAGGAGGTGAGGAAGAACAGTTTGGGGTTATTTTTGTAAACTTTTACTGAGCTGCCAGTTGTGAAGAAATCAAAACAAAAATATATTAGAGAAAGCAATCAGCACTCTTAATGTGCTCCTTTGGCCACCATGCGTGCTGCTTGCCTGGCTCAGGCTATCAAGCCTTTTAAGTCTTTTATTGTTCTCCTACCCTTAGTTCCTCTCCTCAAGTTAGAATCTGGTTCTGCCTCTGTTCTGACCCTATCTCTTGGATATATGTTAATGTGGAAAAGTAGTTTTAAAGGACACTGTTCTTAGTGCCAGAACAATCTTGGTTTAAATCCTGCCTAGTCTATTACTGAACGATTCACTCAATCTAAGGTAATGTGTACACCAGTGTTGTACTGCAGAACTTGGTGGGATGTTGGAAGTGGTCTATAGCTGCCCTGTCCAAGATTGCAGCCATATGTGACTGCTGAGCAGTTGATATGTGGCTAGTGTGACTGAGGAACAGAATTTTAAAGTGTAATTTCAATTAACCGATTAGCCATGTAATAATGATTACCATTTTGGATACAGCAAGTCTAGAAAATGGAGAATTCCCCTCATGGAGGTTAAGCATGTGATAATGGATATGAAACACCCAAACATTGTACAAGCCTCTCCTACTAAACCAATCCCATTCAGTCCTGAAAGACCTTAAGAGTATTAAAACCAACCTTGCTCAAGCCTTGATGTGCTGCTGGTGTTGGCGAGTGTTCAGAAGGAGGTCCGACACAGATTTTCAATCCCTCCCTGATGGTGCGCAGGTGCAATGTGGTGCAAACAAGTCTGCTTCTTTTCCTCATTTGGTCCTCACTGTGTTAGACAACTATATCTTCAGAAACCCACACTTTTAAGCTCTTATGTGACACTAAGGGGCTGGGGATATAGTTCATTCTGAAGGTCCTAGGTTCAATCTCCAATACCGAAAAAAATATATGTAATTATATATATATATATACATACACATACTCAAAGACATCCATTTGTAGAGAAAAATCAAGCATCACTGATTCAATTATATTTTGTAGTGTTTATTACAGTAAAGGTTACTATTGTAAAACAGTAAATTTGGTCCATATTTTATTTTCCACTTTGCTTTTAAACATTTTACATTATTTAATAAATTATAACTTTTATGTTGCACATAGTTTTTTTTCCTAACCCTTGGAATATTATAGTTTCAAGTAGCTAAAAAATAAAACATTGAAGACTAAGTGTACTGATAAGTACATGCTGAAACATTTAATTACCACAGTAATTAAAAAGTTCTGGTCTTTATTTCTTAAGATGAAAATTCATTAACAAGAAGTCATTTAAGAATCTCTGGGATTTCTCTGTTATCCACAATGAGAGTATGAATAATCCCTTCTTTCCGCTTTCCGCTACTGACAGCCTTTATATAACAGTCATGGTTCCCAACACTGAAGTGTGTTTCAGTCCCATCATCTACAAACTCACCCTAAGACAATAGAAGAAGAAAGGATTAGTATTCCAGAAATATTCCTCTTTGCCTATAGCATTAACACCATCCAAAAGTAGGGCTAGGGATGTATCTCAATGGCACAGCATTTGCTTAACACAGGCAAGGTCCTAGTTCAATCCCTAGTACTGTATGAAAAAAGAAAAAGTACTGGTGGTATAATATATTAAGTGAAACATAAAGTTTGAAAAATTAAAGACTAAAGCTTTTGTTTAGGTGCTTTTACATTTCTGTTATGAATTCAAAGTTTCTTTTTATGGTCCCTACAATCCTAAAGATCTTAAGGGGATTTTTTGGTGGGGAGGTGGGCAAGAGGGTACACGTGACTGTATGTCTATAACATAACTTGTGTTTTCAAAAGTAAAAGTGAACATGATAATAAACATTTCTCAGTTACTTCTACCAAGAACAGTGTACATGCATAGTTTCACTGCATCTTTATATTAACTGCTAGAAATACTGTACTATTACTACCCCAATTTATAGATATGGAAATTGAGGAACAGGGTGGTTATTAAGTAATTTGCTGAAGGCCCCAGTCAGTAGGGGATGGAGTGTCCTTACCAATATGAAAATTTGATTCCTTGAAGTATAAGGTGGTTTATAATGAAATATACACATAACATAAAACAAGACCACTAAATCCGTTGAGAACTTCAAATGTGACTAGTCTGAAATGAAATATGCTGTTAAAGATATATGCTGCATTTAAAGACAGTATGAAAAAGTAATTAAAATAACCTATTGATTATATATTAAATGATATTTATATTGATTTAAATCAAGTATATTATTTAAATTAATTCACCTTACATTTTTTTACCATGTCTAATGGGAAAAAATTACCCATGAGGCTCATATCTAAGGGTCCTGTTATATTTCTATTGAAAAGCACCAGTCTAGAGTAAAGAAGGTGGGAGCAAAGAAACAAAATGAAAACAAGGAGAAGATGAGAGGATAATAATCAATTATGATGGAGAAGATGAGAGGATAATAATCAATTATGACAGAAAGCAAACACCTCAACCAGACTTAAAACATGACTGTGAACATTATGATGTGCAAAGCAGACAGAGCAAGGACCCTTTATTAACATTATCTAGGTGATTAAAGTACAGGAAGTACCAGAGAAGCTTTTTGCTAGCTCCAAGAAGTACCAGCCCATGGCCTTCCAGCATGGTGTATCAGCACACACATGTTCTTGAGTGCAGCGTGCTTCCCCCTATTTACACTGAGCTTTGGGAAAAAGGCTTTGGAGGGCAGGGGAGGGTGGAGAAATATAATCTCTATAGGTCACTTCTTCGCATTTTGGCAAACTCGTGATTTTGGTCCTAATGTATTGAGATGGAAAGAAAAAGGGCAAAATAAGCTGTAACTCATAGGCAGCAGGAGCAGTGTGGTACACGTGTACAGACTGGGGAAGGAAAGCTGGCTGCATATACAGAGCTGCCCATTCTGCTCTGCAACTAGACTGTAGTTATAGTGAGGGGGCAGTTGAATCACAAAGAGCTATTTTCCAAGTGCCATATTGAGATGGAAAGAAAAAGGGCAAAATAAGCTGTAACTCATAGGCAGCAGGAGCAGTGTGGTACACGTGTACAGACTGGGGAAGGAAAGCTGGCTGCATACAGAGCTGCCCATTCTGCTCTGCAACTAGACTGTAGTTATAGTGAGGGGGCAGCTGAATCACAAAGAGCTATTTTCCAAGTGCCGAGGTTTCCTGTTAGTGACTGAGGGACACAGATACTGTGGATCATCATTAATTTATTATTTATTTTTGGTACCAGAAATCAACTCAAGATCTGGTGCTTGCAAGGCAGGCGCGGCACAGATGGTCATTATTTTTACCTTCATTCTTTATTTCTAAATCACATTCTTTATTTCTTTTCCCCCCAGTGCTAAAGATTGAACCCAGAGCCTTGTGCATGCTAGGCTACATCCCAGCTGTAGAACTAAATTCTTCACACCATAAAACAACATTATTTTTACATTTATACTGGAAAATTCCTTCTAAGTGGGAGAAAATGTGATTCAAAAGTCCCAGTTCTCCATCCAGAGAATTCCAGGGTAGGAGTGAAGAGGAAGGACCACTAGGTGCGGTACTAGGCACACAGCTGGAACCAGACTGTGTTCATGGTGACTGCAATTGTTCCAAAGGGGCCACAATAAGGCTTATCTTCTGGGGTTTATAACAGTGCCCTTTCCTGTCTACCTTTCATAATATCTGATATTGTATGCATAAAAACCTCACTTTTAGAAAAGTTTATCTGTTTTTGGGAATGTGCTGCAGGCCTTCCTACTCTATGTACAATTTGTGGGCCAACTATTGGTAGCTGTGAAGTAAATGCTATAATTTACATTTTAACAAGATCCCAGGTGATGTCTATGCATGCAAATTTGAGAAGTAGAATAAAGAATTACTTCATATGTTCATATGAATAAACACAAACAGCTTTTCAGGAAGGGACTGTTTTTTGGTACTGGGGAACGAACTTGGGTCCTTGTGCTTGTGAAGCAGGCAGTGGAACCACTGAGCTAAATCTCCAGCCCTAGGAAGGGAGTTTTTTTTTTTTTTTTTGAAGATAAACATTTTAAAATTTATTTTTATTTTATTTTTGGGGGGGGGCCCTGAGCTCACTATGTAGTCTAGGATGGCCTCGAACTCATGGAGATCCTCTGCCTCGATTACAGGCATGTGCCACCACGCCTGGCTCTACATTTATTTTTAAACTTTATTTTTTTATTGGTACATACTTGTCATACCTATTGATCGCATTCATCATAGGGAATTTGTACTCATATATAATATCCTAATTCTTTTTTCCCATTCCCTTCTTCTCTTTCCAATCCTTCTTCCCCTCCCTATTCTCCAAAGCTTTGTTTCCATTTTTCCTTTCCCATTTACAAACACTTTATTTCCATTTTTTCAGTTTCTCATATTTTTTTCTTCTCCCTTATTACCTTTCCCCCACCCTTCCCACTTTCCTTACACCTTTAGCCCTTTACTTCCTATTTCACATTATTAATTGTCTCATTAGGATCCTGTGTACTATTATAGTTTTTCACACCAAAGAAACTACTCAGTATTTCAGCTAAAGAAATCTCTGTATGAACATTAAAAATAGGGAATCCTAAAATAAAACTAGGAAAGTAAAGGAGAAAAGGCAATGATGTAACATCAAAATAATACTTAATTCTGGAGATGAAAATGGTCCCTGAACATATTTAAATTGCCTCTCGCTCTTATAGTCTTATCTTATTCTTTTTTTCATTATTTAGAGAATACTTTATTAGTTTCTGTAATCAAACCCACGTAGATATGACCTTACATATTTAGTATGTGAGGACTCTAGGAGAAGAGCTTGGGCCAGGAAAGGGAAGGAAAAGGCTAAAGCCAGATCAGAACACAGGTGGTCTCCAAACTGTCACTGGCCCAGGAACTGTCTGGGCAAGGTTTTCAGAATTTGGAATCAGGAATACTTAAATTTCTTTTTTGTTTCTACCTAGAGGACTTTGGTTAATTATAAAAGCTTTAGAATTAACATTTCAGTGGTAACTTACACATATGGCACTAAGAATAACCAAAAGGTCAACATACCGCTGTCTCCATCTTTTTACCATTGCACCATACATCCATAGTGTCTTTTTCTGTAAAAGTAACATAAATTTTATGTTATAATTTTACAATTTAAAGATAAATTTTCATATTTATTATTTTTTAAAAGTTTTATAAACTGGATCACTAAAATTCCATTAATATTTTAAAACTCAATATACGGCTTTTAAACTATTAAAATTTGAAGTTGCTCATTTTTAATTCAAAGAGGAAAACAAAAATGAAATAAAATAATCTTTTTTTTTTTCAAAATAATCTTTTAAGAGAAAATCAGCCAGGAATGTAGCTCAGTGGCACAGCAGTTGCCTGGTAAGCACAAGGCAGTGAATTCAATTCCTAGTACCAAGAAAAAAAAGAGAGAGAGAGAGAAAGAGAAAATCAAGGCCCCAATACAAATTGATGAAGTCTTGTTAAACAAAATAAATATGGAAGGACCATCTTTAAAAGAGAATGCATACAAATGAATGTGAAGAACTTTTCTACATAGAATGTTCTTTAGTATCAGTGAGTAACTCCCACTGGTTCCTACACTGACTCAACTAGACAATGGAAAAAAGATCATCAAAATGAGCTGTCCAAGGCTCATATAGGATAGACAGTGTGTCAGCTTTAGAGAAACTGAGTCTTCAGTGTCTTATTGGGTAACACAATTGTCTATATTCATTTTTATAATGGCTTTACTTTGTTAAAATTATTAAAAAATAAAGGAATTTATTACTGGTGGACTAGACTATACAAATGTAGAACAAGATGCTTCCAGAGCACATTTTTATATCAGTTAACTTCCCATAGCTTACTGCAGGCTATAGCAGTGATGGCAAACTTTTTAGAGCTTTCAATGATAACAAACATCTGGCTGTGGCACATGTGCCATAGGTTTGCCGACAGTGGGCTATAAGAACTCCCAGAGCCCTTTGCAAGTATAGTCTTGGGAAGTGGCAAGAGAGAAGACTGTACTTATCAAGTAGCCAAAAGAGGAAAAAAAGAGAGCATGTGTATTTGTGACATGTACACAAGGAGTCTAGGGGCAAAAAGCTGACTTGATGTCAAGTCTGAATCTGTAGTGAAGGGTTTGACTCTGGCAGGCCACTTGCTCCAGCAGCATGGTCTAAAGCAGCTTTTCTGCCCATACCTTCAGATGGGTGCCTCAATTACAGTGGAAAAAGGTTTTGAGATGGCTAAATGAAACAAGAGAAAAAGGAAGACAGGAGATACAGGCAAGAGTTACCCTAAACACAGTGGGAAGCGTCCATGGTCACAGCTGTCGGGGAAGCTCATCTTGTCCCAGCACAGGTCAGAGCACATACTAGTACAGTGGCTATGAAAGCTGGCATTTTATTTATTGTACCTACTGAACATATGCACATACTCAGATTTCTGTAATAGCTTACTGACATGCCTCTGAGGAACACTGTTAGTCTAGAAGCCAAAAAAGAAAAAAGTTTGACTACATAAAAGTAAAACAATCCACATGATTGAAAATATGCACATATGTCAACAAAGACAAACAATAAATAATGTACTGGAGAAAAAGTATCTGAATCAGGACAGTTTTGCTAAAATAAAGACTCCCAGAAAGGAGAAAAAAACCAACAACACAAAGAAAATGTGAGCAAAGGACACAAAAAGAAATATGAAAAAGTAACTTACCCTATGAAAAAATGCTTCACTCAATTTTGAACAAGGCAAATAAAAACAACGCTGAAATACCATTTTTTTACCTAACAATATGTCCAAAAAAATCCAAGTGTAGCAACACGCTCCATTGGAGAATTTAAGGGGAAATAACTACCACAAGGCAACAAGGCAAAAAGCACACTAATATGACAAAGGCTATTCTTTGATCCCCGAATAACACTTCCTATCCCCGAATAACACTTCCCACTTCTAGGAATTTGTACTGAAACAAGAAGTGCACTACATTCTTAGACGTATATGAATAAAGCTATTTAGCTCTGCTATTAATAGCAATAGATTAGAAACATCCCAAATGTTCATTATTGAGTTAAATATACTGTTTACTATTGAAATTTACTATGCTAGGCTACTAAAAAAGAATGAAAAAGTTATTCATGTACTAATGTAAAAAGATCTTCGGAATACACTAAGTGAATAAAGTGAGATGTGCTTATGTAATGAGGTAGTAATAAAATATCTGTATTTGCTTGAATCTGAATAAAGAATGCTAGAAGGACATGGTTCTCTTCAGGAGGCCAAGGTAGGCGTATCATTTAAGCCTAGGAGTTTGAGGCCAACCTGGGTAACACAGAGGAAACCTCTGGTTTTTTTTAAAGGCTGTTGTTATGGAGGTGGAGGAAACAGGGATGAAGACAGGGATGGAAGCAAGATTTCTCAACGTACCTTTATACCACTGTGATTTCTGAATCACATGAACATACCACCTATTGAAAATGATAAATAAAAGAGCTCATGTATCTGACAAAATATTAACTCCCTTACAGCTTAGAAGTACACTGGACAGATGATGGGAGGTCCTGCAGTGTGTTCATGTGGAAGCCTCTCCACTGGCATGCACATTCCCTTTCCTCCAAGACTCACAGCCAGGGATTCCACAGGTGAAGAGCAGGGATGTTCTATAAATGTTTCCAGAGGAGTGAAAGTTTTCAGAACAAAAAGAGAATTTCTTCCTAATGACATTTTTTTCATATATTACTGTCCCCTCACTGTCTTATTTTCCTCCCAAAGTGTTCACCATGTATCTACTACCAGACCTACAGATTCTAGCCAGTGCTATCTTCAGTCCTCTTAGATGCCTTACACTTTGGGAATGCTAAAAAGGAATGTACATCATTTTGGGGTCAGATTACAGTTTTATTATTTACCAACACTATCACTTTGGCCTCAATTTCTTCATAGGTAAATGAAAATATTTTTCTTATTGGCTGGGAATAATAATGGTCAAGACTAATTTATATAAAGTGTTTAGAATAGTAGTTGGCACAAAATATGACCTCAGTAGTTTATGATGTTGTTATAAAAAGCTTTTTGTGTTCTTTGTGTGTGTGTGTGTGTGTGTGTGTGTGTGTTTTACCATAATATTTTAGGGAAGCCCATCCTTTGTCCATGAATAATATAAATAGCTACAAAAACTATTTTTAAAGAATTCACTATATGAAATCCACTGCTAAGTATTTATACACACTAACTCAATTCAACCTTATACACACGACTTATTTTATAGAAAGGGAAACCAAGGCTCAGAGCTTAAGTAATTTGCTCACCATACGGCTCTGACTCTGGCGCCTGCATCCTTCATCACTAATCTGTCAAATGTCAGCCTTGGAACACTGTAGTTTGTGGATCTGTGAAACTTACAACTAGAAGCCCAGACAACATGAATATCCCAGACAGTTTTGCCTTAACCTCAGTAAACAACTCTGTCTTGTCTTCTTATCAGGTCCCTTCCAGCCAGGGTGCAAAAGGGAAAAGTTTGGTCTGAACTCTGTCTCCCTCTCAGGCACATCATGAGGAAAAGAGGAGTAAAGGCAGATAAGGAATGGAAAGAGAAAAAAAAAAACACATTTTAAAAGCCCGAATGGAACAGGCCCATGAAAATATTAAAAAGAACTAAATATAATCTAGGCCTACCTTAAGTAGTCTCCTCCATTTCCCCTAGGAAAAGTTAGTACCAATTGTTTCACAATGTAGCAAAATAGTTGGTTAAGTTAGTTGATTAGTGCCTAAAATTATTGTAGACTTTTCATAAAACAAAAAAAACCCCCATATGTTCAAATGTGTTGACACTAATTCTAACCCTTTCAAAATTAAAGTTTCCATTAGTAAGTAATGAAATACAATGGTTTTAAACTTTACTGTAGAATGAGTCACCACACTCTTAACCACATCAGTGTGACATTTTGGAAGATAATGGGAAAGATGAACTCCTAAAATCTCCAGAAAGAAAACTAAATAATGAGATTCAGATGGGCATAAAACATCATGTAAACCAATGAAGAAGGGAAGATACTGGAATAAAGCTTTCATAAAATCTCAAAGAAAATGATTTTGAAGTTAAATTCTGTGCTCAGCACAAATACCTATTTAACCTGAGCATCAAGTAATGTTTATCTCCCAAAGAGCAGGAGAAATTATTTAAGGATAAATTCCAGTAAACAAAGATGAAACTGGGAGCTGCAAGGTTCAATAAGAGGAAAAACTAAAGGGTTCACGAAAGACATTGACTTTGAACTCAACATAACTTCTTATGAGTGGCACAGAAGGTTCAATTGTAAAACAGGAAGAGTGTAATCACAATTAACTATGTAAAAATAATTACATAATTGGGCTGGGGATTTAGCTCAGTGGTTCGGTGGCCTGCCTCTCAAGCACAAGGACCTGAGTTCGATCCCTGGTACCACCAAAAAAAAAAAAAAAATTACATAATCATAATTGTAAACCTAGAAAAATACAAGACTTAATAATGGCTTCAGAATAAAATACAAATATTAACTAGGACAAGGTAGAGGAGACAGAGATTGAAAGAGAAAAGAGAAGTAATAGGAAGTTGGCGTAATTATAGTCAAACCTTATGCAATGGTAATGAAGTAAATTTATAAATTGATGAGAAAGATAGTGGTAGTAGTAGCAGCAGCATTTTTCAGTTTTTCCAAGTTCCTCCCATTAAAACAAAGCAACAAAACAAAACTAATAACCCATGGACAGTCTCTCCTTTGAGTACATGAGGCTTTTGGGGGACATCCAGATATAAACCATTATAATATTATTATATTAATATTATTATCCTCCACCTAGATCCCCTCAACCATGAAGCTGACCCTAAAAGGACTGAAACTTTTAAGAGAGGAGCTAAGATAAACCTATCCTTTAAATTGTAGGTGTCAGGTATTTTGTCCCAGCAACAAGAAAAGTGACTAAGACAATCATTATTGGAATTAGCTGGCAAAGACTTTAAACCTGCTGTTATAAAAATGACTGAACAACTGCAAACACGCCAACAAATGTTAAGCTGAAAGTATCAGCAAAGTAATAAAGATAAAGAGGAAACAAAATTTTAGAATTGAAAAGTACAATAGATCTAGTAAACTCACTGGAGGGACTCAGTAAGAGAATAAAGATGAAAGAGGAAATCAGTGAACCTGAAGATAGGTCAGTGGAACTTTTCTAATCTGGACAATAAAATGGGGAAGGGGAGGTACGCATGCAGGTGAGTGAGCCTGTGCTTTAAAGAATGAGGGCTAACAAGGTCTAACTTTGGTAACGTGATTTCTAGGTGGTCAGGAGAAATAATATGATATAGGAAAAAATACTTGAAGAAAGAATAGATGAAAATTGTGATTGTGCTAAAATTCACAAGACTACTAAAACTGAAAAAAGTTTTATTGTATGTAATTTTTAAAATATTTAATAGGTACTGTGAGGTGGAAATTTTATTTTATAATAGTAAGTCCTAGCTTCTTTAATCTTGGGAATTATTGCTTTCACAATATATAATGTTTTAGTCTTTTCCCACATTATTACCTGTACTAAATGATTAATTCAATATGAATAATGGTGGGAAGATGTGCTTTTTTTCTTTGAATAAATTCTTGGTATGAACAACATGAAATATAGGTTTTGGTTTTTGTTTTCATGTTTTTGAGACAGGGTCTCACTATGTAGTTCAGACTGGCCTTGAACTTGTGATACTCCTGCCTCAGCCTCTCAAGTTCTGGTATTACAGGCTGTGTAATACCACACCTGACAAAACTACAGTTTAAAAGAAAGCTTTCCAAAAAATTGGCAATATATATTGGAAAGATTATGCATTTATCTAAGAAAATTAACTGAAAATTACCATTACTAAAACATGGGATTTTACTAGTTGTACTAAAACTCCTAGGCTTCAAGGAAAAAACAAAATGTTTTTTGAGTATCTGGGAAGAATACATATTTTTAAGGGAAAGAAAATCAAACCGCTATCAGACTTTTTGAGAGCAACACTTTATACCAGGTGAAAGTAGAGTAACATATTAACACTGCAAAAGGGAAAAAAATGTGAGCCAAAAACATTTTATCTAGTTAACCTGACTTTCAAATATAAGACATAAAAGTCATCAATATGCAAGACCTCAGTATCATTCCCATGAGCTCCTTCCTAAGGAATGTTAATGGAGAGCAACTTTCAGTCAACCAAAGTGATCAGAAAGAAGCAGAAATATAAGAACTTGAAAGCAATAAATAAATATTTACTTAGAGAATTTAAATGTAGACTAGAGAGAGCTCAGCATATAACACCTATAAATGACAGTGTAAATGCAGTATTTACATTATAAATACAGTAAGTGGAAAATGTTATGCAAAAATAATTTTAAAATAGTTTTGGTAATCATATTAATGGTGGTAGGGGCTGGGGATTTAGCTCAGTGGCACTGCACTTGCCTTGCAAGTGCAAGGTCCTGAGTTTGATCCCTGGTACAAAAAAAAAAAAAAAAAAAAAAACACCCAAAAATATTAATGGTACTAGTAGTGTTACCTGAGGTTATTATGTACACAATGTGGTATGAAGCAAATGAGTAATTATGTGACATTCTAATCCCATTATCCTCTGTGTTCTCGAGACATGCCTTCTCAGTGTGGAAAAAAGGAGTTACAGATGTTAGATAAGGCTTAGTAAAATCCTCACACTCCTGAACTTGAATTACAAGTATCAGCATACACCTGTAAGATACTTTATCTAAAAATAAATTAAAAAGTCTCTCCCTCATCCCTCTCTTCCTTTACCCATTCAGTCAGCATACCTATCTACCTATTTATATATGTATTCAATTCTATTGCTGTGTCCACTAAAAACTTAGAAATAATGAATGACCATTTTTAGCACATGATCAGATTATGCTCTTGAAATAACATTTTCCTCTAATAGGAACCAGGGCTTCTTGGAGAAATGGTTATTCCAGGTCTGGGCAGAAAATGTTCAAAATGAACCTGGACCATAATGTCACACTAAACAGGAAGGAAGCCCTCTAAATTTACTGAGGAGATGTCCAAAGGATTCAGGAGCCAACTAAAGCTCTCACCTTAGTAAAAAATGACAACTTGAGCATCAGTAAGAATAATAACTGCAAGCCAGGTAGGGTGGCACACATTTGTAATCCCAGCACTCAGGAGGCTGAGGCAGGAGGATTGCAGTGATTTTGAAACCAGCCTGGGCTACATAATGAGTTCCAGGTCAGTCTCAACTACATAGTGAGACCCTGACTCAAAAAAACCCAATAATAACTGCAATGTACTAAAACTCATAAAATTATTTAAAACCATAAATTAATAATGATTTTAAAAAGAACAGCGAGCATGGTGATCCGTAGAGGATATGGAGATAATTCAGTATTTTGAAAGCTGGAGATTAAAGGCTAAAATAAGCAGATATTTTGGATTTCATATATAGAAGTGCCACTTTGTAACATAGTATATGAGGGGAAATTTCTAACTATAGAAATATTCCAGCTAAGAAAAAGGGAATGAGAAAACCAGATCATGATTTAGCAACCACTAATGTGCTATTGGATCCTGGTACTAGATATTAATTAATGGTATCAAAGAAAAAAAGAGTCACGTATAATACCATGTGCTTCATGATGTAGCAGTTATAAGGTGGTCTTTCAGTTATAAGGTGCCTGAAAAAAAAAATCAAACCTAAATTTGACCAATTCTTCAGTGAACTACCAGGTCAGGAAATACAGCAAAGTGGAATACCACATGTGTGTAATGAGCAAAATCTAGATAGTAGGAAACTCCAGACAATACAATTTTTTTGAAAACAGTATTGATCTAGTTTCTTCAATAAATAAGCTATGCAGGCAGGAGTTTTTAGTTTCTTTGGTTTTTCTTCAGCTATGTGTATTTATTACTTGATAAATATTTGCCATTTTAAAGAGTATTTGCTAGCATCTGACGAAACTATGGAATCTCTGAAGGTAAGGAGAAGGTTTTCATCTACAGATCCTCACTCAGTGCCTGATCTACTAATGGGAATTTTATAAGTGTTTAATATATATTATCTAAATAAATAAGTGAATTTATAAGATGATCAAACAGTCCTTAGTGATATGAGAAGGAAAAATAATAGAAGTTAGCAAAAGAGAGAAAAAGTAACTTGTTTACGTATCTACTTTATCTGGTTTTTGACAATATTAGGCTGATGCAGTCCTACTCCTATTGTGATATACAGAAAATTCTTGTTTTACTGATTAATCTTAATTTTCTAACTTCTTCTAAGATGTATTTATAAAGAGAAATACCAAATAATTATGTGTCTATATCAATATTACTTTTTTAAACCCAAGTTTATAATCTGCAAATCCATCTGTATCAAACCTAGTTTCAAGATACACATTATATGAGATAATGAAAAGATGGAAATAAAGTGTTTGTAGATGGGGAGGGGAGGAGGGGGTGAAGGGAGGGCAGGGACAAGGGGAAAAAATGAAAGCCAAGACTTGTCATGTAGAGGTACAAGATCCCAACAATGAATGTAACTGTACTGTATCCCTAAAATGTAGCAATAAACTCAATTAAAGCTTGAAAAAAAAGATACACATTATGTACAGAACAGTAGATCAAATGAATATTTGTTCACAAAGGACAAATAAGAAATACAGCTGAGCTGGGTGTGGTGGCACACGCCTGTAATCCCAGCACGCAGGAGGCTGAGGCAAGAGGATCACTTTGAGTTCGAGACCAGCCTGGTCTACCTACATAGTGAGTTCCAGGTCAGTCTCAACTACATAGTGAGACCCTGTCTCAAAAAACAAAAAAGAAAAGAAATACAGCTGAGCTTACATTCCCTCTCCTTAAAGCTTCCAGAAAAGTCTGGAGAGTACATGGAACAAATTAAACCATCACAACAAGCCAATAAATTCTACAGAAATAGCACTAACTTACCCAAAACAACTCTAAAGTCCTCACCATCCAAGTTCATTACCCAGGTATTGGTAGTTTTTGATCTATTCTCCATGTACTTCTTGAGGCTTTTCCCATTAATTTCCAGAGTATATTCATAAGCAAAACCACTAACAGCATCTATATTTATAGTTGCTTTTGTCTTTGCTGCTCCAACACAGAAGGTTTCTTTGCCCACTAATTTGAACATCCATTCTTTTCTTATCTCTTCCTAGGTAGTAAAAAACAAAAGTTTAAAACATGAAAATGGAAGAAATATTAATAGTTAACATTAGTAATGATATAAAATGTTCAAGTGACCAAGTGGCAAGTTTTTAAAATATACTTTTACTAATTCATAATGCCAAGGTTTTAGAAAATAAAGCCATCTAAAGTTTATATTTATGAATTCTATAACTATTTTTAGTTTGCATTCAACAAAGTAATACAAGTCAAAAACATAAAGATAACCAATGTTAGAAAAAAGCCCTGACTTTACATATGAAGAAACTACAGGAATAAAATGAAGCTTCTCTGTGACCATATTTTACAAAGTGACATGTTTTCTTACCTTTCCATCTATATATACTACTCGTTTGCCTGATGTGGTGCCATGTTCAAATTCAATCTTATGGACTCCATCACTCAAAGCAACATCCCATACAGCTACAAAATCTGTCATTTTTTCCAGGCTATAAGGAGGACTAAAGGAATTTTTAAAAAGCCATTAAAATGGACCCCAAACAATAATACAATAATTAATTAATCTTCCTAAGATGAAAATATCAGATTTTTAAAGGCTCTAAAATTACAAAGCATGAAGATGACATTTCCCAAGCAACCCTACTCACAGAACATAAATTATTTTGTCCCTCTTATTCACTCTTCCCTTAAGAGACAACTGCTATTCATAGGTATATAGTCTGATAATTCCAAACAAAGTCACCTTAATACTAATAAGATTAAGAATCTATCAGTTTATCCTGTGTAGTATTCTAGACTAGGATACAATTTCTTACATGAAATAGTAAAAGTTCTATCCCTTACCCAATCCACATTTTAAAAGCATAATATTCAATGTTTTTTTCTTTTCCAGATCTAATTACTCCGAAGCAGGAACTCTCCAAACTTTTCACCTAATGACTAGGGATCTGTTTTTAATGAAAAAGGGTCCTAATTTATTATAGTGAAATAGAAAAAATCAGCTATGCAAAAAATACCTTGTAATAAAGATTAAAATAATACAAAATATTTTAAAACAGTAATTCTTGAATTATTATGGGAAAGCAAATTAAAAAATAAAGGATTCTGGCTTTCAAAAATTTCTGGCATAATTTAAACATATTTTTATATTAATATTTAAATATAAAATACACAATGTGTCAATGTAAATGACATACTACATGCTATATAATTAGTATTTTGATATTGATATTATATAGATTATTATCGAGGGAAGTAAGCAGCAATAATGATGGTAGCTAACAACAGCTGTTAATATGTTTTCTGTGTGCCAGACCTAGTCTGAGCTTTATATGTATTAACTCATAGAAGCTGCCAGGTGCTATTAGTGTACTTACTTTACAGATAAGGTTCAGAGAGGCTAATAGTTTGTCTAAAGTCACAGTGACATTAAATGGCAGAGATAGGATTTAAATCTAGGACACTGGGTCCAGAGTCTGTTCTCTTGATATCTTCCTCTTTGTTCATTTTTTTCTTTGTTTTCTTTTTTTGAGATAGGATTGCACTATGTAGTTCAGGCTGGCCTTAAACTCACTATGTAGCTCAGGCTGGCCTGGAACTTGCAGCGATCTTTCTGCCTCTGCCTCTGGAGCACTGTGATTACAGGCAAGCACCATTGCCTTCTCCTTTGCATGCTTTGAATAGTGATTTCATTTTGAAGTGTTTGCCAACATTCTTTTATGCTGAGAACTTCGCATCCAGGATAGAAAGGATGGCATGGTCATGGTAACCATGTCCATGCAGGTATATGCTATTCTTGCTCTACATCATAAAACAGAACCATGCATTCTTCAGTGTTATAAATATTTCCTTAACAGAATAGCTTGGATAAATAACTTTCTGAATGATCATAAAAATCAACTGTTTCAAAGCCTAGTTTTATTGCAATGCAAGATATTTACCTTTCATCATCTTCAAAGATAGGACTGTCACCTCCAGATGCCATGGTTGGCAAAACAATCTTTAATCCAATTAGCAGCCAGGAAAGAAAAAGCAGAATTGCAGCAAAGGAAGATTGAGAGCAACAAAGATATCTACAAAGTGTTTTTCTAACTCTGCAATGCATTTTTTAAATTGCAAGCAGTTTCTGATGAAACATGTTTAATTTTCAGAGAAAGAAGATAAATCTTATTTTTCCTATTATGGATTTATAATTTCTTAAAAGTATGATTTTTTAAAAGTAGAGAATAAACTCTAGTTTATTTCAAGTATTAACAGCATATCAGAACTGCAAGAGCCCTGTAAGATCCTCTGGGTACCATTCTTCTTAAATGGAAGCTCTAGAGGACCCAAGGGTTTGAGGGAATAGATCAGAGAATACATAAAACTCTAAGATAAACATGATCCTTCTACTAGAAGTGGCAAGGTTACAGGGTAGTAACTAATTCATAATGCAATCTTCACAGTTCATTTTACACTTTAAAATTTTTCCTGAAACAAAGGGTGAACTTACAGGAAGTAGCCGTGGATACACTAATTCACTTTCTAAAAGCAATTTTCCCATTTACCTAAGCCCATTCAATTTACTAGTGCCAATAATATATCTACAAAAGTTATGGGACTCACCCGGTAACTAGCAGGGTCTAAGCTAGAACTAGAAGCCAGTACCGTGCAATGAAGTAAATAAGTAACTGGGTGGCAGCACTAATTTTTACTAAAATCTGATTCATATACTCACATAGATAGGAAACCCTCCACTTTAGATGATTTGGGGTTAAGAGACCCCTGCCAAACTATCATAAATTTAATTATTTTTATTCCCAAGATCTACTCTAGTTTCAGCCCTCTCAATAAATGTCTTTTCCCTATCAATGCTTTAAGTGCATTATCACCTTTCTAAAAATGAGAGATTGCCAAACTGCTCTGACTAGAAAAAGCCAAATTTCATAAATTTGTTAAAATAATGTTAAATTAGGCGATATTAGCACCCATAAAAACAATCTAGCAGGCAACAGGCAAAGAAACACTAAGAATTTTAGAACAAAATCTAGGTAAAGACCTTTTCCTAAAATAAATCCTTCTCAAAAAAAAAAATTAGCACCATACAAATTTGGAAAATTTTCTAGTCTTAAGAAGCCCTAGCATATTTCCTTCAACTGGAGGGTATCTTGTTACTATGAAAACAAACAAACAAACAAAGTATATATAGCAACAAAATACCCCCCCCAGTTTAAAACTTTGATAAGGCATCCTTTGTAATCTGAGAGGATTTAAGGATGTCAGATTTGTGCTCCACAATTTTTAGAGATTCTAGAAAGTTCAGTAATACAGTACTGAAAGCTGAATTGCCCTTTTTTATTATAAAGAATTTCATAACACTAAGATAAAGCACTGAACTTTCTTAATTATAATACCCTTTCCTAAAGAGTATAAAAGATAATATAAGGAGTTGTAAGGGAAGTTAGAAACCAGCTTTTTAAAAATTGAACTACAAACATTCACTCATGCATTCAACAATTATTCATGGGTACCTAAAATGAGCAATTTTTCATTCTTCAATAATTGATAGTAAACACTGTAGTGAGGAGATAATTACATACAATTTAGAATAAGCATCAAAGCAACTATCTGGCAATTTTGAAGTAATCTGATTCTACTTATAACTTTGTCAAAATTGATGTTTCTTAAGCACAAGTTCACAGATCAACATAAAATTGTTCCTTCACTGGTTTTCCTACAGACATGACTGAATAAGAAAAAGGCTTTAACACAAAGTAGTATTTCAATTTTTCTTGTCCATGTTATCCAGTAGTTTAAGCAAAAGACTTAAAAATAATTATAATTTTTTCTTTTGTGGTGCTGGGAAGTGAACTTAAAGCCTTGCACATGCTAGGCAAGTGCTCTACCACTGACATATACCTAACCTATAAAACTTTTTATGTGAACCTTAATAGCATAGTTGGCTTATAAAAGGCTACAATGCTTCAAATTTTGAACTATTCTCAAAGGCAGAGATTAACTGAAAAAAAGGTGCTTTCTCTGCAAGGATTAAAGTAAGCACTATCTGCTTATCAGCAATAACCAAAATATGAGCCATATAATTTTCATTGGAAAATGAACAATGAGATCAGGTCATACAACCTCCCTCTCATCATGGGGAAATTGAGGTTACAAGGCACCCCTGTACATGTCACCCAAACCACTGGAACATTTTTTTTAAGACAAGACCTTGCTATATAGTCCCGGCTGATCTTGAACTCCACACTATATAACCCTGGCTGCTTAAAACTCATAATGTTCCTGGTTTAGCCTCCTGAGTTTACAGGTGTGTACCACCATGCCTAACTCTGGGTTCTTATCTATCCAACTTTCTAAGAAAGGTGTGGAGGTCCCCAGTAAAACACCGTGAGTAAAGACAAATTTCCACAAGATACCATCTTTTTTTTTTTTTTTTTTTTTTT